TCACGTAAGATTTCAATCAAGCGTTATTTGAAATGGCGACGATATGGAAATGTAAGATAAAATTGGTCACTTATTGTTTTAAAACATTACATAAGGTTCAAGAAAAGCTAATGATAATGGACTAAAATGTTACAAGATTTCGAAATTCCAAGCATCACGTCAAATTGCAGTCAAAATGCGACAACATGCATCGGATGATAATGATAAGCCTGCTTCTGCTTCAAATGGAATAAAACAAATAGCTATTCCAAGTACTGCAGTAAATGGTATAGTACCGTCTCAAAAGTCTCCGATCATAATGAGTGATGCCATTGCGTTGAGATTAACATTGAAGTTATTGCGCACCTCATAGCTACTTTACTTAACTAAAAATACTATAATAATAACGCGACCTAAAAATGTCAAAATTAATACTCATATAAACTGTACCCTAATACAACAAAAAGTTTAATCGACAAACAAAATTTTAATTAGACAGTTGAACGTAACCTTATTATTGGAGAATGCTTTTGGTCATTCAGAAGAAAGATTGAAGAGAAAATTGGCCTCCCAAAGTCGACAGTCAATGTATCGTAAAAATAATCCGCCAACTTTTCGCTCCATGCAATGGAAGATCGCAGACAAACACACTTGAAATCGTTGTTCGTTCTAATCGGTGGCAGACTACGAGACAGATTCATGCAGACGTTATCCATCAACTGGAACTGCCATTAGTTTATCGTGTATGAAAACTTTATATGAATCGGGCTACAATAACCGAGTTATGGTTGCAAACCGCTTATTTCTGCGTCCGGAAGAATGAGCTGCATTATTTTATAGTCAAGCATGGTTGTGGGCGTGATAGTCTGGGATTGCTTACATAAATCTTACAAAAATAACCTGTTGCCATTTATACAAGGATTGGAGCAAGAAGAGGAAGAATATGATAAAAAGTTTGATTATACATATAACTCAAAATGGTTCAAAAACGTCTAATAGAAATGCGGTTGTTTTGCACTTTCGAATCACATAAATATTACAGTTTGTGTGTATTCTTTTTGACGTTTGTTTTAACTTTTAGGTCACGTAACCCGGATTATAATATTTGTAGCTGAGTAAAGAGTAAGTTCGTAGACACGATAGATGCGCTAACTTTAATATTAACATCAGTGCAAATACAAGTGGTGTCGAAACTTTTGAGACGGCACCATATTAGTAAATAAAGCTGATCCTATATAAAAGTGTAGAGTCACTTCTAGGAGTAGACTTCACATTGGATGGGACACATTAGAATATGCTAAATGCACCAGACTTTCGTATATCTTTCACACAACAAACTCGAATATGATTTCCTCACCATGTTCCTGTGCTGGCCTGAAGAGCAATTGAGGGAATGTTTGAAACTAGGACAGATATCTTCACTGTCTCCCCATTCCTTTAAAGTAAAAGGATCCACTCCGCTGTACTGATTGTAGACGCAACACCTTTATAGATGTGCTTAACAAATGGTGCAAAATGTCATTTCAAAAAAAAGCCTTGCGTATTCGCTCGTTTCCTTCACGAAATATTAAAGTACCTTCTGCTTTACTCGATATGTACTGTAACATTCTTGATTATTTTTATAATATGACTTACGAACGAAATCGCAATAAGTATGAGGTGTTATTGTCTTTAAAGGAAGTTATTACGATAAAAAATTTTGGACTTTTTGCATATCGGTCGCCAGATCCATTTCCAACACAGATTTCAGTGAAAATGTTTTTATTATTAATCTTCTCAAGCTGTCTTAGCGCCAATAATTCCTAAATAACGTAAATGACGTTTAGCACCAGATGCAACCAAAGTAAGCTTTCAAATATTCACAACGTACTTTCAGTTTCAGCCACGGATTCTTCCAAAATTTGTTGTTGCTAAAGAAAATAGCGGGTGAATAAAAGAGGGCGATATCGGCAACGATCGAATATAGAACATTATCTTACCACTTTGGGATCAGAGATAGCAGCCTTAACTTTCTCGATGACTGCCTCTGCCAAAGCCTTTTGCTCACGTTCGCGAACGGCAGCCTCATGTCGAACCCAAGAATCTAAGACTGATTTGATTTCTGCAGCAGCGGCAACCTTCTGTTTCAACTCAAAGGCTTCTGCTTCTAGAGCTGCTGTTTTCTGATAATAGAAAGTACTGTTGTTAATACATTCCATCTTTGATGTAATCTGTATTTAGATAACATGTTACCTTTGACATGGCAAACAGCGCCTTGGTGACATCTACAATATCACCCAGTTGTCCAACAGTTTCAATTCGATCTTGAACCGCAACCTTATGATCCGCTCGAGCTTGACGAAGAACGCCGTTAACACGCTAGATGAAAAGCCACAGTAATCACATTTCAACGCCAAACACCCTTAATTAATGACAAGGATTGATTACGACGAACCTAACTAAATATTGGATATAAATCCCACCTCATTTTCTTCTGCTGCCCAGTCATTGAAAGGTTTCTTGAGACCACGGTATAAAAGGGTAGCCATGCCAGTAAAAGCAACTAACACAAGAGTCTCTTCGTTGATCACGTAAAGCTCTTGGGACAGCACATAGGTAGCTAATCCAGTTCCCAGCGTAATGTAACCTGTCTTTGAAATCAAAGAGTTTCCAGGCAGAGCATCGATAATACTTAAAGCCTTTTGTTTTGGGTCAACAGGTGTCTCTAAAGAAAGAGGCGATACAGTCGGTAAATATGGAGGTTTCTTTAAAGCACCGGATGCGAACTCGATTCATGTAACATACCTTCGCTCGCAGGAGTTGTATATCTTCGAATGCTATGTGCAAACAATATAATTAATTGATTTTTATTTGCACATCAGTTAGTTCATATGAATGTGAATTGTACGAGCCAACAAGGTAGCCATTTCGTGAGATTGTCCCGATCCGAACATACCCCGAATTAACAGCAGGACGTCCAAGGACGCTCAGCGAAGGCCCATTGACGCCTAAGCGTTAAATTAGAGTGCATGTTAGCGAATTAATTTCGAAATCTAAAAAGTGTTTAGCGGGCAATTCCCCTACCCGAAAGACACCTGGTCGACAGCTGCCTCAAAGCCATATAATAATAGAACTATAGTCCGAAAAATCAAAATGTCAGTAAACGAGTGGAGGAATAACTGTCCTCAAAAATTTCTTGGCGAGAAATCTATAAGTCCCTTCACTGTCGCGAATATTATCCGAAATTGTAGATGGGGCAGCCTAATATTAAAGAGAAGAGGGTATGCCATTACTGTACATCATAGTTATATTAATATGTCGATGTGTCGATCTGATCAAAATTTTTTCGTGATAAGGATAAAACAGTGCAAAATACTATTCGTACGGTTTCTCGCGTATAACCTGTTACTATGATGCCAATCTACTTTACTTTTTTTGCCTTTGTTATTCTTGAATCCTAAATCATCCCCTCCTAAGAAACTATAAAAAACTTTGTCCTTAAGGTCTTTATAATTATAAGGAATCGAAATTTGCATCACAATCCGCCCAACTCGGACCTTTAATCCTTCAAAACTTCTATATTATTACCTTCTGTCTAAATGTCTTGCTTTCTCGACGTAAGCAATCTACGTGAAGGTAGCTTGATCGTTGTACTCTAATTCAAAAACGGAGTTTCATAAAAAGAATGGGAGAAGTTAAGATGGTAGTAGGGAGACTTGTTCAATGAATTTGGAGGCATTCAAGCAGGATCGAGAGTGGGTTCCACGTTTGCTGATAATGCAGTAAGGGAAAGTGAGATAAGGTGAATTGATCGAGAGATTTAGTCTAAAAAGGAGGGTTCGGATCAGATAAGTTTTATGATACGCTATTCTTTTAGATATTCGTAAAGTCAAAAACCACCTTTATTACGAGGTAGAGAAGCAAATGGGCAGGTATATGGTTGGTGAATAATGTACAACATGAGCAATGTACTAATACTAAAATAAAATGTCATAATGATAAACCCTAACCCTAACCTCTGCTTATAAGTATGAAGCATAGCAGTCGTAATGAACAATAATAGACAATTACAAGCCATTTTAAGCATAATCGGCTTGGTTGCTTGCTAAATGAAATGGCTATCTATTTGGTTTGAACAAGAGATTAATTACTGATTCGTTATTATAGCAATTTCTGACAAATTGTATACTAGGCTCTCGGATTGAACCGTTGTTGCAAAAAACCCCCCCAATGCATTACAGAATAATTACCATTAATGAATTATAAACATACCTTTATTAATTACTAGTTTGATGTGAAATGTAATGGCAATGGTTAATTGATACGCGTTATATAGTTTCCTTCCAAGCAAATACAAATTAAATTACACGCAGCTTAATACTAAGATTTAAGACCTCGAAACTTACTTATCTATTATATATATATACAGTCGAACCTCCATAAAATAACCCTCTATAAAGGAGCATCCTCTCATGAAGAACATTTTATCATGGAACGAATCTGAATTATTAGTAAATGAACAAGCTCTACCTCAACGATAGAACATAATTTGGCTGTCCCAACTGTGTTCTTTTATATACAAAAGTCTTTTGAAAATCGGTTATGAAATTAAGTCTCAGTCTCCGTGAAAACATAGCTGGCCAATTCATATTGATATCATAAAGACTGTTTTGATTATTATGGAAATAACAGCCAAATAATACGCAGAATTAAGACATAAGGATGGGATAATAGTACGTATTTAGCAAAACGTTATAAATTAATTTAATTAGGTCAATGAAGGAACGCTGTCAAACTTATAGCGGAGAACGAACACCTAATAATAAATTATTTAATATTTGATCATGTGATACAAGCTAAAATACGAAATATCTACGCTTTTTTAGTTCTTACAATTTAAATTGTGCAACGTTTGGTATAAGCTTATTATTATTATTATCCATTAATACGCCGAATTTCTCAAGTTGACCAACTCCGGTAATCACGTGAACCATTACTATTTATTCATGCGCTCTACCCCACAACTCTGGCATTGAGAGACAATGGAAATAAAACTCGAAGAGCAACAGAATGGATACGAATATATTCAGCGCGATGAAAGCAGGAGCGATACAGGTTTGTTCTGTCAATGACCTGTCCTAGCTTGGAATTAAGGAATACTGACTTTTTCTTTTCTTCTGGCAGACGCTCCCAATCGTGCATCGCAGCTTGCTTCAAATTTCCTTTCGTCCCTTAAACTGGAACAGGGCTACCAGCCGATAGGTAGCGAAGAATCAAGTATTAAGGGTAAGAAACTTGGATCTCAGTATTAAATACCTATTAATATTCCCGATCTTTCCGATGCTGGAATGTGTGCATGTGCCATGGAATGATTAGCTCTAGCTCTATACCGGAGAACAGCTAGCCAAAAAAAAAAAAATAATTGTTGATTCTCCTTAAAGTTTCCTAGCGTAATCCATTGAACGTAAGGTCATAGTAACTAATGTTATGTCATTATCTGCTCTTTTCCTCTTTTTTTTTCTCCCACTATAGTAACCCTCAGTGGGTTCGTTGTATGTCCTTTTCTTCTAGATTGTAGTTCCCTCGATACTAAAATCTGTGCTAAATTCATTCTGATCATTTATTGCATTTACAAAATCTGCTCCTCTCTCTCTTCCCTTTGATTACTCCGTTTGTTTTTTCTTCGCAGCGCAGCTTAGCCTCGACCTTATTGCTTATTTATACCGAGCAGATTACGGGAGAAAATCATCTGGAAAATAATCATAACCAAGCTTTACTTCTTTTCAGGACATACTAATTGAAATTCCAATACATAAAACATCTTTTCCCTTTCTTCCCTAATTTCTTCGCCGCACAAATATTCTTATGACTATTTGCACACGACGAACCTTTCACAGCTGAACAGTCTTCATATTATCGCGATCGATCACGCGAACGTCGTCGGTCGAAAGATGAGGATGATCGCGATCGTCGGGATAGGAGGCGAGACAGGGATAAGGATAGAGATCGTGATGGTGAGAGAAGTAGCAAACGTAGAGACAGGAGTCGAGATCGACGGCGAGATAGAGATGACAGAGATGATAGAGAGAGTCGGAGGTCAAGGCGTTCTAGGAAAAGAAGCAGAAGTTATAGCCCGAGACATCGGAGTCCAAGTCCCAGACACCGATCAAGGTCAAGATCCATCACTCCAATAAATAAACGAAAACGCAAGCTCAACAATTGGGATGTGCCCCCGCCTGGGTATGAAGGGATGACTGCAGAACAAGTAAAAGCAACCGGTAAGAATGCAAGTGTGCGCATAAACATGGCTTTTAATCTTGACCCGATATCAAATTATACAATAAATTGCTTTTCAGGTCATTTCCCGCTTCCCGGACAACCTGCTACTAAACCACTAAGCGCGCCACCAACACCTCTGGTGCCTGGTATGGATCCATCACGTGCTGCCATGATGATGGGAATGACACATGAGCTTCCTCCTCGGCCAAAAGTAAGCCAAGGTGCAGCGGGTCCAGTCGCACAGACGGCTTCACTAGCACGGCAGGCAAGACGACTTTATGTTGGAAATATTCCTTACGGTATAGACGAGGTCAGTCAAAAAAGACAAATACGCAGGAAGAATGAATATGTTTGAGTGAGTTTGAAATTGATTTATCATTTGTACTTGTGTCTTTAGGCCGGTCTCTCCGAGTTCTTTAATTCGACAATGCTCCAACTGAATATCACGACAGCTCCTGGAAACCCCGTTATTGCGGTCCAAATAAATCATGACAAGAATTATGCTTTTGTAGAAGTTCGTATACAAGTTCATACTCGATATTTTGTAAGACTCGTCGTCTCTCACACAAGTTACTAACTTCAAACATCTTCAGTTTCGAGCACCAGAAGAAGCAACAGCTGCAATGGCGTTTGATGGGATTACATTCCAAGGACAGTCTCTCAAAATTAGACGACCAAAGGATTACCAACCGCCCCCAGGACAGAGTCTGGAACCACCGCCGATTCACGTTCCCGGTGTTGTGTCGACAAATGTACCAGATAGTCCTAACAAGATCTTTATTGGCGGGTTGCCCACGTATTTGAACGACGAGCAAGTAATGGAACTACTAAAGTCATTTGGGGAATTGCGAGCGTTTAATCTTGTCAAGGACAGCGTAACTGGAGTGTCCAAGGTAATGTATCAGTCTTGCTTGTGAGATATTGTAGAGAATTACCGTTAAGTGTATATACATCATACAGGGCTTTGCTTTCTGCGAATATGTGGATCCAAATGTCACGGACTTAGCATGTAAAGGCCTTAACAATATGGAACTTGGAGATCGCAAATTAGTGGTTCAGCGCGCTAGTGTCGGGTCTGCCAAAAACACTACTGTAGCGACAACTCTGCCTCCGTCGTTGCTGATCCCAGCCGGTAACGGGGAAATGCAACCAACGCGAGTTTTACAGTTACTGAATATGGTCACACCCGAAGAGTTGGTTGAAGATGAGGAATTTGAAGGTTAGTTCACTAACATGTGGTGTTTCAGCGTAATAGTCAAAGTGATGACTTATATTGCGATTGATATGCAGACATTTATGAAGATGTACGCGAAGAATGTTCGAAATTCGGAAAAGTATACGACATCAAAATCCCGCGTCCCGTTCAGGGAAATACGTCCGGTGTTGGAAAGGTAAAGCTCACTCCATGCAGATGCAAAACCGCTCCAGGATTGGTAGAACGTTAGCTAACTCGCTCATCTTTACAGATTTTTGTACGCTATGAAACTATCGAATCAGCAGGTGCCGCGTTACGAGCTCTAGCAGGGCGAAAATTTGCAGAACGTACGGTGCTAACTTCTTATATTGACGAAGAGAAATATGTAGCAGACGACTTTTAATTGATTATTAGTAGGAATATATTAATAAAACAAAAAGAATCGATCTATGTTATAAGTTACGAATGAATTAATAAATTATCAGAATTCGGATTATCGGATTATCTGTCGACAATCACACAATTGTTCTAAAATTTATGCGGTCGTGTTACACGAAAACTTGCCTTCAAATCGACAGATCTACCTAGACCCGCAGCCTAGTCTCTTGTAATCATGTCGGTCGACACTGCTAGCTCTGACACAGTCTTTAGCATTCTCAACAAGGGCTTGAAACTTGAAACCGTTGAAGATGTCCAAACTTTTGTAGAGGAAATATTAGCAAAAGAAAAGTTAGAAACAGTGATTTTGAGCGGGAATTCGTTTGGCGTTGAGGCAGCTCAGGCCCTTGCTGGAGCTCTAAAAAATAAAAATTCAATCAAGGTGAGCCATTGTAGGCGATGGGCACGACTTGCAAGACTGACATTGCTGCAAAAGCCATAGTATTGTCTATGGCGCGTTACGAGTGCCTGAACTATATACACGCGCGCTCTGATCAATCTTTCAGTAACGCGTCGTCATTACTTTAAATAACTAGGTAGTCAACGCATCAGATATATTTACGGGACGTCTTCGAGACGAAGTTCCGCAAGCAGTCAGGGCAATCTGCGATGCGCTCGAAGACAAGCAGAGTCTAGTTGAATTGAACTTTAGCGATAACGCTTTCGGCCCGGCAGGAGCAGAACCAATGGTCGACTTTTTAACGAACAACCGGTGGTTCCAGGTACTGAAACTGAATAACAACGGATTAGGGGTACGTGGTGGTACTATAATTGGCCAAGCCCTACTCGAGGCGGCAAAGAAAAACAATGAGGAAGGCAAAAAATCTTCTCTTAGAACTATCATTGCCGGCCGCAATCGATTAGAGAACGGGTCGAGTAAATATCTGGCTAATGCATTTGCTGCACATGGTACTCTAGTTGACATAAGATTACCACAGAATGGTATCAGACCGGAAGGCATTGCTGTATTCTCAAAAGGGCTTGCGGCATGTAAAGACTTGGAAGTGATCGACTTTCAGGACAACACATTTACAACCGACGGATCTGTGGCATTCGCAGAGGCACTGCCAAAATGGAAAAAATTGAAGAATCTGAATATTGGTGACTGCATGTTGGAAGTTGCCGGCGGTGTGGCTATAGTAGAAAGTCTTTTAAAAGGATGTAACAATCAGTTGCAGACATTAAATCTCCAGTATAATGAAATTGATAGAAAGTCAGTGTCCTTGTTGGCGCAAGCCATTTCTTCTCATCTCAAAGAGCTGTCCTCATTAGAGTTAAACGGTAATAAAATTCATCCTGAAGATTCGTCCATCGCTGATGTCAAGGCTGCTCTCGAGGAACATGGACATGATAACGCTTTGGGAGATCTACACGACATGGAAGTGAGCGAAGATGAGGAGGAGGAAGAGGAGGAGGAGGAGGAGGAGGAGGAATCTCACGAACGCTAGACGTGTTTCTGCTGACTATTAAATATATAGAAGTTTCAAATACATGTTATATACAAATACTGAATAAACATAAAAAAAATATACAAACTTAATTTCCATTTTGTAATACTCTATACGCTATTGACAATTATCTACAGAACAGAATGGATATTCCTTGAGAGTAGGTGGAGAAAAGACAGCAAGCATTCCTCCTCACGGCCATCATTATTGAGGCGGTTCACTGGTTCCGGATTTACAAGACCAAGAACTTTTGATTGAACACTGTGTTATCGTCCGAGTTTCGGACACCTCGCGGCAAGTCACATTGTCCGGTAAGTCATCATAGAATTCTCTATATTACCCGCGTAGACATATCCTGATAGGCCCTATCTACATTATGATTATTCTTAGGGTTCCGCAGTCAACAGGCAACGGCTTGGACGAATGCCTTACGTCTTTGACATGGGAACGTTCATTCTGTTCGGAGGGCGTTATTGTGCCGTCTTGAGACGCTACTACGAGTCAAAGTTTCGATTGACGAGGCACCTGTTGACAGTGAGTCTGATCCTACAGAATTCGGGCAGGATATAGAAGCGTGGTTCTTCTATATGGTTGGGAACGTATGACATACGTGTGTTATTGATTTTGTTCTCTCAAACAAAGTCATCCCGCATCAGTGATATTTATTATGCCATTAGCAATTGTCCAGAGAACCATCTGATCTCATACCGCCGATTCATTATTCAAGTCTTTAATGTTATTGCTGGACTAAGGCTTGGTGACCTATTTTGTTGATATTGTGCATTTCGGATTAGATGTACTGTAGCCCGGTTATTTGTCTCCGTACTAACATTGACGAAGATATCTACATAGGTAACTGGCTGAGTATGGCTGACCGACTTATTATTATCGAGTTTACTTAACTTATATGAATTATCAACGATAGTAATACTCTATTTATAGGATTAAGATTATTAATTGCCACAATTGTTCAGTAAGTGATTGCACACTATTTAACGCTGAAGCATATACCAGTGTAAATTATAATTTACAGTCCCTGGTGAAAGTAATGACGCGTGTTTATCGGTCATTGTCCGATCCAGGGTAGTTGTTCTTGTTCATTTCGCGATAACTTAAACAACTGAAGGCAGGCATATTATTTGTCAGATTTCATTAGATGGCATTCCGACTGAAGCAACTCTAGTGTTGAAAAGCATAAATGTCCCAGTTGATCAGGAAGACATATGATAATGAAAAAGTTGTCTCAATCCCCATCTTTAAAGATCTTGCTGACAATGTTGCTATGGTATAGATAGTACTTTAGACCGACCCCAAGTTACAAGTAATAGAAAGTAATACTATATTTATGTTTTTATGTCTCTCCCAATACAAGCCATTTGTTATAAACAGGCATGTAAACAAGAATAGTATTTATTAGTAGCAGCTTAAACTTTAAGTAGTATAATATTTTTCTGGTATCATGAATAATTGCATGGTCACCAGTTACAGTTGGATCAGGAAACTCTGGATTAAGACAAACATTGAATTAGGAAAACCAATCTTGAAGAAAATGATAAAGTAAAGTGTAAAGTAAAAGCATTCATTTTCATGTTTCAGAGCATTCCTCAATGTACTTGACCAAACAAGATCATGAACTCTCCTAAGTATAATAATAAGGGCCAACTGATCTTTCATTCCCTAAACAGCTTGTACTTGTAAGAAATTGGCTGCCACCAGGCTGTGCTCCTGGCAATCAGTCCTATGACTTAAAGACAGGAGATAAGTTTCTCTGCCTTCAATCCCACACCAGTCAAAATCAGTCAAGATTACATTTTGAACACCCCAACTACAACTACCAGATTTTGGGCATTTCTGAGATGCATTGTAGATCATCAGCACATCAGTGTATATTATCTTGCAAATTGCCAAGCTTGGGTTTGCATTGTGGTCCAGAGGGGTTATATCTTTGTGTAAGTTTGTGGCTTTGAGACATTGTGTGTGTAGATCCTTCTTTGCTTGTTTTACACCTTTTTCAACCACAGTAAGACATCCTCTAAGTTTCAGCTGCTCCTGCTGGTTAGGATAAATTATTAATTACTGTCACCCTTCCAGTTTTTGATGACATCCATGCCTATACAAGACATACATTATATCTCTTGTTGACTTATCCTAGCCATGGTATTACTCCCATGCCTATACAATATATCCTCCATGCACATTATATAATCTCTCGTCGTTGCAAGGATAATTGGCATGAGTAATAGGAGACAGTTGTGAGGAAGTAAACAATCCAGAATATAGAAATCGGTAAGTTTTGCTAGAAATTATCACGCGTTTCAACATTCTCCTACCACTCACCAGGCTTGACAATTCCCTTAGATTCTTGAGCTCTTCAACAAGACCCTCTGTTGATCTCCTAGTAGGTGATATGGCCGTCTCATAGGTATGCCTGAGAAAGACATACTGCCAATTCTGTTTCGTTTGACAACTTCGAAAAAATAGCAGCCTTTGTTGGTTTATACGAATTAGTCACGTGGATATGTATTTATTAAAGTATTAATAATCTTAACAGAGACGTAATACTAGTATACATTATAATGTAAATATTGATCCGTTTAATTTGTTTCATAATAATTTACGTAATCACAAGTTCGAATATAACAAAGAAGGACTCGTTATTTGTGCCTGTCGATTCAACATATTCGGAAGGAAGACGCATACGGTAATCCAATAATAGTAAATATTTGTTTAATGTTAATGACGAATTTACACAACCCACGGGAAATTTTCTACGTGATTGCCGCGAGAGAAGAATGGGACGGGTGATCAATAAAGTTCTAAATTATAAAAAAAACATGGGACGGGTGATTAGAGTAGATTGATACGATTGGATGATATTGTGATTGTGATCACCATTGCTGTATTGTCAATCAAGTTTACCAAATAAATTCAGCCAAGACCCTACATTCCTGTATATAGGTTCATGGTATATATTGACAATCCAATAGCAGACAAGGGGTTCCGTCATTAATATTAACAACAATTTGCTCTCAAATATGACAATTGAGAGATATGGGCCATGGTTGTAAATTGTCACAACAATAAACGGTTGTTCCTTAGACACATGATACTGGGCGTTATTATTATTTATTGTATGCAGAAAAGCTCTTACAGGAGAGTTGCACAAAAATAGTAAATCCCCAGAAATCCTATGCAGTCAAGGCGGGCGGGTATGGATACCTTAGAATAGCGTAAATCAATGAAACGAACAGCCATGTATCTTTACATATACCTGCAACATATATGCCCAGATGCATCATACGCGGGGGAGAGCAAAGTATGTGTGTGTGTATAATAAATCAGTATGCATGTGATCACATGCCAAATATGAGATTTACAACGTCTAACATGCAAAATCAGCAAGGCGGACATGATCAGCTCAGGGCAGAGCGAATGAAAAGGATTGTAGAAGATGGCAGTAACTGATATTTGAAAGACATATTTGGGTGCCATTATGAATTTGCATACTTGTGTTTATAACCATTACACACGTATCGAAACCGTTCCAAATGCGCGTAACGACATTTTGCATGAATTGGGCGTATCTATCTATCGGACGCCAGAGAACGAAGTCTGTTTGATCCATTGTTGATGAATCGCTAGATCCATTATTATCACTTTCACCAACTCGACACTCGACAATTTTCGTTTTAAGCAATTTTTATTTGCTGTTCTTTTTAGCTAAAAAGAAACTATAGATAAATATATATATGGAATAAAGTTGCAACTATATACAGTAAAAAAGAGAAAGAATAAAAAAGCAGTTTCAATTATAAAATCCCGGGAAAAAAAAAGAATTCTGTTTCATACCAAGCATATATATATTCGTGTTGTTCTATAGTCATGTTTTTGCGTCGTAGAAAATATGATGTAAAAAGAAAAAAGGAGACTGGATAAATCTTATCATACGAATTAATAGTAAAAAAAAAAAGTGAAAAATGATCTATTTTTAAAACATCTATAATTAGTTTTGAGTATGTTGTGATTTTTTTAAATAGTAAACCGTATGCAACCCTGGTGATTATCATAAGAGATGTAAGGAAAGACAAGGCGACGTTCCGTCACCAATTTGCAATGATGTAATTCGTGATGATAGGAAATGTCTGCAGACAAGAACGAAAAGAAGGTGAACACAGAGAAAAAGGGGGAAGTAATACGGAAGAAGGGGAGTGAGTAATACAAATAGGGGAGAGTAATTGACGTCACAATCGTGTGATGAAAAAAAAAAAAAGATAGAGAGAGATATGGATAGATGAATACAGAGAGATATGGATAGAGAGAGAGATACAAATGAAAAAGGGTAATATGTACAAATATAAACCAACACACTCAAGTATTTAATGATGACCGTAACAGTAAAAAATAAATTCCAATACCAAATATAATAATAATGCAAAATAACCGAATGCCACCCCCGAAACCCAAACACGCACGCAAAACCCAATATTCTTTACAAAAAAAAAAAAAGCGAAAATCAAATCAAAGCCTTAAATTAACCACCTAGACCCTATTCACATGTTAACCGGCTTAAACTTTTTCGCACCACCATTAGGCAAGACAGCCTGAGCACACGGAGCACCTGAATCGCTCCTCAAATGCCTGTTTAAGGCGTCCAACCGCGCAAATGCTCTTCCACAATGCGAGCAGACATGTGGTTTGAAACCCAAATGCAAGTTATAGTGCCTCTTCCTATCATGTTGTCTTGCAAATGCTCTCGTACATCCTTGATATCCACAGACGAACGGACGTTCGTTTGTATGTGTTCTGAGGTGAGATTTGAGATTGTATTGACGGGTAAAGGTTTTCGGACAATCGCCGTGTGGACAATGGAACGGAGCTGACGATCTGGATTTGCGAGACGGTTTGGGAGGAGCGAGGTTCATTGTATGTAGACGTTGTACCATGTCCACCGGGAGTTGTTTGCGATGCGATCGAGAGGGTTTGGTTGTAGCAGTGGTCTGCGACGTTGCAGTAGTGGAGGTTGCAGTGTTCGTACCAGCAGTTGTACTAGTGCCGTTGTTATTACTGGTATCCATGTCGTGCCTTGTTTCCTCGGTAACCATTCTTGCCATTGGGGGTACGTTCGGATATAGACTATCGGCAATGGCCTGTGCTTTGGTGGGCGTGATGGGAGTAGCGGGAAACAGGTTGAGAGTCGGGGCATTCAAACGAGAATGTTCTGCAACTATGGCTTCCAGAGCAGCATGTGTATTTGGCGTTAGGATGGTATTGTTTTCGTCGTTGCTTAGCGATGCTATGTTTGTGTTCAATTTCAATGATCCGAATGGATTGTTTTCCCTCGTCATGATTTGATCGGGAGACATTTGTGGGAATGGAGCAAAGTTGGCAAAGTCCAAGTGACTATGAACAAAGTCTTGGGTTTCGAATTCTTCGCTGAATTCGAATGAATTCCTTCGTTGTTCTTCTTCGAGAAATTCCTGGGGTATGTTGGGGCTAGATAATACAGAACTGCCACAGGAGGAATATTCGTCGGACAAAGGTTCGTAATCACTAATACTAGACGATGATTCGTAGATCGATGATTGCGGTGAGCCGTACGACGGGGTATAATCTTGCCCGTAGAAGAATGAAACAGCAAAAGGGTCCTGAGGGTCGATATAGCAAGAGTCTTGGAGATCTTTTGTTTCGAAAGAAGGAGAGTGGGTAGAGGTGAGAAAGTATGGTGAGGGAATGTCGTGCAGTGATGAGTCCATTTAGAGGCTGAGCAATTACTCTTTGTGGTAGCTTTTTTTTTTATAGTAGGGAGTTGAGACGTATAATGCTTTTTTGTGCGAGATGATCGGAGGGCGTATGGAAATGTTCCTGTTGGAATTTGGATGTGGCTGGGATTTCCTTTTGGGGATCGAATAATGTGATTAGATAGAGGGAAAAAAGGGTGAAAGAGAGCGTATATATTTATAAAGTGTTTTCGAGTTAAATCTTAAAGCGTAGCCAAGAGTCTTAGTTCAAAATATCATAAATTTTTTGCTATTGCTGTCTGATGTTCGTAAAAGCAGCAGAGCGTGTGATGCTTGGGTGTTTTCCAGTATACGGAATATCGTAGAGCTAGCCGTATATAAAATATATATGAAACGATAGAGCTGACAAAATAATATGATGCACTATTTATCTGATGGATGAGCTGAAGTGGGATTAGAAACAGATGCTTTGAGAGCGAGAGAGAATGGGAGGAGGACGATGGGTAATATTTATAAAAAAGTGACCACCTATTATGATATATACAAGTTAATCTAAATGAGATTGTCTCTTATAAATAGAATATATGTGTATATAATACGTCGTATAAATAATACATTATATAATATATTCAATAGTATTGTATATGTACATCACACAATACCGCATTGTATATATAATTATTAATTATATTACTACTTCATCTGATGTATCACAAATCTTCAATTGGGAGATGTGTCCCGCGCAGGTAATGTTGGGATAAAAATATTTTATACTAAAACGTTCATTAAGAGAAAGAATTTACCTTCAAGTCTAATAAGCAAGTTTGATACGACTTTTTAATATTAGAAAACTGATCATATTAAATTTTTGCATTAATAAATCGTTCAATATTGTAATTACGACATTGTCACTCGCATGAATAATATCATCGCTGTCATCATTATATCGTCATCGCTGTCATCGCTATTATAATGGTCACAGTTCATAAAGTCATATCGACATTCCCATATTTAGTATGAAAAAGTTGAGCAAGTAAAAAGTGAAGGGCTAACACCCCATCCCATTGTTCTAGCAACCATGTCCAACATCATACAATCTGTTACTTTGCTTCACATACCCTCATTGTCTCACCAATCAATAGTCCTCCCCCTCCCCCAATTTCAAGGCTAACTCGGCCGAATACAACTTAAACAAAACAATTCGCCACGATCATCTCTATTGGTTGATCATCACTGTTGGTTTATTTTTAGAAAATTCTTGTGGCGAGTGACAAAAAAACGATTAGGAATTAGTATTAGTCAATCTTCCACTCGTAAAAAAACCGGTTTTTGGAAGTTTCGGTGACAGGCTACACCAAATTGATGAGATATGCCGATTGATAAACATAACGGTTGTCTATATAATTTCAATCTACCAAATAGAGTCAATACATATATACAAACAAAAATAATCCCATCTTTTGTTGCTAGTCCCTTTGGGCTGATGTTTGATTACTTGCCATTATTGTAGAGAGGGATTTACAATCGACATGGCGTGAATGCAGGGTTTCAACAGAGTGGGTGGAATATGCCATGACCCATTTTTCGATTTACCTCGTCTTTGAAAATTAACCCGCACATCCCCGGAATGGTTTTTTTCGAAAGAAATAAAAAAAAAGCAAAGATTTTCTGTCGTTCCCGTTTCATCGATAAGCGAAAACAACCATTAGTAGGACTAGATGACTTTTTGATCTGCAAAATCCTAGTAACGAATCAGAGTGACCTGATGGTCACGTTGACTGCCAGTTTCATTTTAATTTCCATTTTAATCTCATACTTTACCATTTGTCATACACTTATTCCATACGATGCGGCCGATGTGTGAGATGATCAAAGACAATCCGCAGTATATGCTAGTGTATTGTGTTTAACCTGGTACACTTTGTGTTTACTCATATTTACGTCATCATTACAAGTGGCACATGTGACTGACTATATAGTGATAGAAAGATTTCTCTATTAAAACGATGCTGTACTTTTCAACTGTTGCTATAAACCCAACCCAAACGTTATATCCCCAAATGCGTTAGCAACAAATTTGAGGAAACGGCTGACAAAGCAAAAAAACCTACCACGTATTCAGGGTAGATTGGCGGTTTATTAAACTTTTCGCTGTTATCCGACGGGGAATTGAAGGTTTTGAGTTTGTATTAGTATTAGTTGGGGATAAATTCGTTCCCGATACTAAAAGTCAAAAAAACGCTCCCATGTTGCTCAGAGTTATTATTAGAATTGATCTTACCAAGATATGTAATACGACGCACAAATCATTTTAAGAGGTGAGGGGGTGGGGAATTTTTTTTTTTAAAACGTTGCCAATAAGATTGGAGATGAACGAGTTGACACGAAAATGACTATAAAGTAAATACGTAATAATCGGATTTACAGTATCTAGGAATTAACGTTTATGTAATTTACATCCACGAGAAGCGATATGAGGTGAGCTCAAACTGGTTACCAATGATACAATTATTTAACGCGGACAAATCAGAATTAGGCAGAATTTGCAAATTTATTTTGAAAGGAAAATAATATCAAGTGATTTTCTAATTCTTACATGAAACTAAAAGACAATGTTGATATTCAAATACTTGTGCTCTGTAATTGGAGTCTAAAAGATGAAAAACACAATGACTATGTAATTGTTGTCTTTTGGTTTTTCTGGATTATTCATCTGAACAAAGAAAGACTTTTCCGGAATAATTCAATTATTAGTTTATTTACTGCAACAGTACTACACTCCCCTTTCTCCCACGGAAAACACGAATTGACCAATCGGCCAATGAAGTATATGCGAGCAAAAATAGGTTTGGTTTGAGGGATGAGCATTGCGGGGATTATTAAGTCAATAATTAGTGCATATAAATAAAGATGACCGTATAGGGACTAATCAAAAGTTGCACTGTTTACTCATTTGATTATCTATAAATATTAACCAATTCGAACTAGGTTACGATCAATTCATTTCCTAAATCTATAGATAATAATGCATTTGATGATTATCACATTTACGGTATTTCGTTCCAGGGGATTGGTAATCGAAACATAAAGACAAAAATAGAACACCCGACCCAGGATTATGTATAGATAACAAGGCAATAATCTCAAACGTCCAAGCGTAATATGTCGTGCGTGGTATTTTACCTTTTACCGATACCAAAATCAAACAGTGACATTAATGAGTCTCGTCTAGACTCATAAACCCATGTATACGAGGGAAAAAAAAACGTTGTTAAAACATGCATAAATTTTCAAGTTTCCTTGTAAAGTATATAAAGAAAAAGCAATAAAGCGAATTTGGAATACTGGTTTATTACGTTATTCTCCTTTGTGCAATAAGAGGTGTACGTATATAGTTAGTTACCAAATATTGAAGGAATACCAGCCCCAAAAACAAACTAGCATAAAGATTGACAAAAACGGTATTGTTTCAGTAAAGTTTTTTTTCGAATGGCTTATTCGTTTGGTCAAGATAGTTTATTTCCTAGTCACGTTTTGCCCAAATATGAAGTAAATACTTCCGATATGGTTCACAAGCATGGAAATCCTTTAGCTGAACATGGATCGATTTACGGCTTACAAATCAAGTAAACAAAGAGAATGGTTTCTCTCCCCCCCCAATAGATGACATGGTGTTACCATCCATCTTATTTTTATCACATCAATGCACAGTTAATCAACGATCGAGAGAATGAGCAATTAATTCATTTTAATTAATATAGCTTAACTTGTCTGATAACCACTGATAGATCAGAGAAAGACTACAATTTAGCAGATGCAAGCGAATTAACATTATGATCTCTTTTGGGCAAGTTTAGTTCTTGGCGGTAGCACACTTTAACGACAATGCTGAGCTTTGTTCAATCAATCCATTTCTTTTATACGCGGTATCGACATAAATAAATTACCGTCATGTTGCTTTAACTTGTCAATGTCCATTATCTTGCGTGTGCTAATCAAACGCAAGCTCTGACTAGATCACTATAGTGCATCTTAAACTTATGTTCAATTGTTTGACAGTAATCAAAGGTGGAGAAACGAAAAATGTATGTGTCGCATTTATAAAATCAACTTACTCCATAATAAATATGCTTCTTCTGTGTAGCCGTTTCTAGACCATTTTATTATATAACGCAACCAGTGCATTCAACAAAGTTTTCAACAACAGATGAATGCGCACGTTAATTGAGAGCCTTCCTAAAGCCCCATATTAAATTTCATTGATATCACCGTATACAATGTGTGACCCAATAACGATCGGTGTGCAAAAACGTGTACAAACAATATTGTGTTGAACTGATACAAGAGGTTTCATAAATTATCAGTAAAGTTAAAATATCTAATCAATGTTCACAATTCGCTCATTTTAACTTCGCAAATTTTGATTATAATCATGGAGGAGTGAGAGAAAATTGTCGGTGCACAGATTCTGTAACAGCTGACTAGAGTAGTAAATTGGCAGAAAGTACTCACAATTACATTGAGTAAAGTCTTTGCTATGTTAAAGATTAACATAATTAATGAATTCGGCCTTGTATCTTTAAGAGTCCGCAAAGCCGATCAAGTGCAATGGTGTGTCATCCGACATACTGTGCAAATTTAAAAATAGCTGTTCATATTCTATCACGAATGTGATCACGAGTTCACCTTTCACTGGGAGAATAATCCGAGAGGTACAATTTATCATAATGTACAACAAATAAATAAGGTTTTACCTTGACTGCATTGTAGATACGTTAATTAGTGGAATAAAACATCCCATTATGTCATTATTCATAGTAAATAGCCGAGAAATTGATGGAGCAAGCCAATCAGCAATTAATTTATAAGCTAAATCTCACGTTTTTGACAAAATAGTAAACAAACATTCTGCTTGACTGTTCTACCAATTAATAAGCAAGCCACTCCGGGATTAGAAATCTTGCTGCGATCAATGCTCGTGTAACTATATGCAGCGGCGGGTATGTATGTGTGCC